AATGCGCTACAAGGGTGCAGCTGAAACTAAAGGTACATGGCACTTGACTACTTTACATTTCATTGTGACGGGCGCAGTGACAGTGTCCCGCGGTATTTGCGATTAAAAGCTTTGAGTGGCACTGCAACTGTTGTGTGTCGCTTACCAGTTGGCGTGCGATTTGTTGTTTCTAACAGTATCTGTTATTATCATAAAGGCAAAAATAAATAACAATATCTGATTTAAATAACTTCGTCGTAGTGGCGTAGCGTTGGGTGGTTCAGAGGAGTAAACTAATAATCTTTTTATGATACTATTTCAATTAATCGTCATCATTAACCATTATACGTCCCAGACCTAAGCACATGTAGCTCAAGTGTGTACGTGTGAAACAGACTTCACCGCTAGAATGAGTACGCTTGCGGCAATCTCGCGAACCACGTACACTATGATTTTTTTGTAAAATGCAACGGTTACGGTTACTGCTCACTAGTGTATAGAGTACCCGGCTTTAGATACCACACTGTGCCCCGTATATTGACGGCTACAGTGAGGGAACGGCAACAAAGCTGACAGCAAGCTGTTCGCTAAGGACGACTTTGATGTTTAAACGGTTTAAATTTATTTAACGCGAACGTATGTACGTTACTATATCGCTGTCAATAGGTACAATAAGTGTGTTAACTCAAAAAGTGTATTTTTTTCAGAATAAACACTAACTTCCCGTGAAAGACTTTTAAGACTTAATGTATTATATAACCATCTTAACAATTTCCTTCTTGCCGAATATATATAAAAACAATTTAAATTTTTGAGTAACGACTATTTGGTCCAGAAGTAGCTCACTAAATTTTGACACATTTTGAGTTATTCATAATTAATTCATTCTCTGTTGCTTGTGGATTAACCCACAGAGATGTGACATAATAGTATTCCAGCACATGAAGCCTGTAAGGCACTACAATGACAATAACTTAACTAATTGTTAATATCGTATACAAGCTATTTTATTATCTCAATTACCAAGTCAAATAGATATCTTTTAATTGTTTCTCACACTATTCTAACGGCGATTGCATTGATGTGTAGAATTTCACATATTTTGAGTTACAACACTATTGTAATAGCAATGCGATATGATGGTCGTGAATTTTGCTGGTGTCGCAATGAATGTTTATAAATTCAATTATTTATCTTCCGTGTTAATTGGTCACTTGCAAATCTTGCAATACATTTAATAAGACTGTCATTAACTCACATTGACTTACAAATAAATGGACGACGGGTCTAATACGAAAACCACGAAAAAAATGTCCCAAGTCAACCTATTTAAACGTAGTGACATGTAAAGGAATATGAAAAAGCTAAAACGTTAGATTTAAATTGTAATATCATCGCAGTACTGTCTAATTTTGCTTGCTCCGCTGTCATTCGAACAAACGAAGACTAGAGCGTGAATGACGCTCTGCATACGATTTTAACGCCCTATAAGTTCGGACACTTTTTAGCGCGGACCCGACGTCCATATAATTGTAAGTCAATGTTAACTCATTACGAAGAGTAACATATTATTGATCACGTCGTATTTGAATAGTTGTGTACATTTATGTTTTGCGAATCATTCATAAATGTACGTAGGTAACTTGGAAACTAAGGTCATATGAGACGCCATCGCCCTTACATTGCTCTGTTAAAGGTTTATTTATTCTTCTGTTTATTAAAAGTGTATCAAAATTCTCTATAATTATGTACGAAACCAATGCGATATCGTTACGTCGGCTAGTTAATTGTATATAAATTTCCAACCAATTGCACGTTCCAGCTCGTTGAACTAGCAGCAATGAAATCTTGCACGCATCAAACTTATCGTCCATTCGATTAACTGTGCAATATTACTATGACAACACAAGTATAAAAATGTACCTATACCATTGACTTACAAATAAATGGACGGGACGGGGACTGTCTAATTTTGCTTGCTTCGCTGTCAGTCGAACAAACGAAGACTAAAGCGTGAATGACGCTCTATATACGATTTTAACGCCCTATAAGTTCGGACACTTTTTAGCGCGGACCCGACGTCCATATAACTGTAAGTCAATGACCTATACGTAAAATAACATGTTCTAAAATTTTAGGTTGGTGCGTTTTAAACCAATGCGGGCTCTGGCAGAAGACGAATGAGCGCTATGTATTTCTGTATAGACAAATAAATATAAGTACATTTAATATTTTATTTCCAAATGTGGGGTACATGTTGTGTGGTTACTTGCTTACCGTATAGATAAAAATCAATTTCTATCAAGAAGAAAAAAGCCATATCCGAAGGTTCTTGCAAATTTACCAGTAAAGAGACGAATATTCTTATGTTCTTTATTGGATGTATTTTTAATTTTAACTTGTTTCTATTTAGCTTTCGAGGTATTGTTAAAAATAACAGTCCAAAATAACACATATGTTAAGAAAAATGTTCCAAGTCGAAACTTGTACATTTTTAACAGACTTCAAAAAAAAGAGGAGCTTCTCAATACGACTGTCGAGTCTGTATGTTACGCGATAGGCATATGCGAACCTATATTGATGATTCTTTTTTTTTGTTGGAAAGATGGTACGTCAGAAGTGGTCCCATTTGAATTTGTAGAAAATATTCCACCTCTAAGGGTGGCAAACCAGGGGATGAATGACTTTTGAGGTCAGTTATTTCAGTATGGAGTTTCTTAATACAGAGTTATTGAGATTCTATGCATTATTTTTTCTTCGTAGAAAATGATTAGTACTCCAAAGCGACACACTATTTTTATCTTGGAAACAAAATTTTTTTCTAGAAGTCACACAAAAAAAAAGTCACTAAAGTAATTATTTATCATATTTTAAAAAATCCGCTCCGTATTACACAAATTGTCCCTAAGATTACGAATTTTATTATCAGTTCAGGCAAATTGTGCGTTGCATGCATTGTTGCGCAATTATCAGAAAAAATAATCCATCACAAAACAAACAACAACGAAAAGTAAGATAAATTAATTACTAAAATCCATTAACAGGTTGCATAATAGGATTACATCGATTTAGATAAACCTAAACGAGCACACGACATTCTGTGTTCTGCTCGGCAGACATATGAGTCGTCGATTGGTGCGGACCATTGTGAGATATACCCGTTTATTGCTGTCGCTTGTTAATAATACCGAACCTGGGGGTCTACATTCGTTCTCCGTCCAGCATCCGACCGAAACAATTACAGTCAAATAAGTCGACACATCCGTAGAACAAAGGTCTATGTGTAAGACTACTTGTTCTCAGGACATAGTCCATTTCGTTCGTTCTTCTTCGCTGTGGATGTCAGATCGACCTTTGTTCGATTTTATATTTCCGAAACGAAGTAAGATATATAAATTCTCAAAATACCTTCACATAGGACCTAGTCTGAATAATGAAATTGTTCTCCTAACGTACTTATTCTCTTTTCGCTATATAATCACATCGGACTCTGTTCTTCGGATGAGTCGAAGTAATACTCGACCATATTAAAACTCGCATGATGCGAATGAAGCTTCATACTAAACATTGTCTCTAAATTTTTCGAGTGTTACTTATTTGACTGCAATTGTTTCGGACGGATATCGGACTAAAAAAATGTGAGGTGGGGTCTTCCCACATTTTCCGAGAGTTGTGAACTTTCTTAGACGTGCAGGTTTCATCGCGATGCTTTCTTTCATTGAAAAGTTCTGCTTGAGAGGCGGTAGGTCAAATAATTAGGCTACCAGTGGTGAGGCGTCCAAATAACTCTATTCCCAGTAGCCTAAGGGTCGTATTCTAGAACTCTACTCAATGCTCAAGTCAGGATTGCACTGGAAATATGACCCTGATGGCAGGGACTTGAATATGATTTCGAGTGCTTTAAACCATACTCAAATCCTGACTTGAGCATTGAGTAGAGTTCTAGAATACGAGCCTAAGTCTTCTATTGAAAAGCTCTGCTTGAGAGGCGGTAGGTCAAACAATTAACCTACCAGTGGCGAGGCGTCCAAATAACTCTATTCCCAGTAGCCTAAGGATCATATTCCAGAACTCTACTCAATGCCATAGTCAAGATGTGAGCAGACTTGAGTATGATTTCAAGCACTGGAAATACGACCCTAATGGCAAGGACTTGAGTATGATTTCTAGTGCTTTGAATCATACTCAAGTCCTGACTTGAGCATTGAGTAGAGTTCTAGAATACGACCCTAAATCTACTACGGCATAGATTAATCTGAATTAATACGACGCTTAGAGGAATGAAGAAATTAAATAAAGGAAAGAATGAAAAGTCCATTTTAGAAAAAACAAGTTCTTGTATATATTTTGGTTAAATATTTAAGCGTTTTAGAATCCGTCTACTGAACTTTTTGATAATCTCCAAAAACTGACTATTTTGTTTGAACATTGATATCAAAATAAAAATAATTTTGAACCAAATCGCTAGTCGTGCAAATTTTGTGGCTTAGCTTTTACACGATTTGTTACCTAAAGTATCGAATAAGACGTTTCTGTCACTCTGGGATGTCAAGTAATAACTTTAGTTACAACACTTTGTTATGTGATTGATTACCATGATACCTTTAAAAACGGCGTTCCTATCACTAAAACCCACCCATTTATTTCCATCACGTACAAGGCGCACCAGTTGTTCCATACATTTGTACGAAAAGTAAAAAATAAGAAAAAACAACAAACAATTACTCTGTAATAATCATCTACGCCCTGTCATCGCCAATGACGCGCGATTTTTTGAAAAAGTTTATAAAGGTTGCGCGACAGATTTCAAACATGGATATATGAACTTAACATAGATATAAGATCATTACCAGGTAGTTACTGTGATTGTCTGACACATCATTATTATTATTTTATTGGGTATTTAATGTATGTAATTAGAATAAAACAAACACAAAAAGACATTTACAATTAAAAAATTACAGTCAATAGAAAAATGGATATAAAAAAAACTGTATGTTAAAAATATTATTATTACTAACTTGATCGTGTAAAAGTCGGCTCATGATCAGTCTGCGTTAGACCCATGGCTGGTAAGGCGCAAGCTTCATCACTGGAACAAATATTTCAATAACTCTCTGGCTCACCATGTGACTATGTAGTTGTGACTCTGCTGACCACCTTCATCATTATCCCATCTTTTTATCACTCTCTTTACTGGTTCCTGCTAACTTACTTTTAAAATTTCAAATTGTTCTCAAATTCCTGTTCCTTCCACTATTCTTATGTTGGTTCCTTCCATCATAACTCCCGAAGCGAGAGTACGTGCATTCCTCTAGTAAATTTATTCTGCTTAGATGTCAAAATTTCTTATGTGTGTTTTATAATGAAGAAACATAAAAATGTGGAGAAAATAGTTTGCACACTTACATTCACATACACCTTTGAGACTACCGTAAACAATTCCTAAATATTCAAGAAATTATGAAACCCCTATAAGGTCACCAACAGGGCTCCCAGACAAATTGAACGTGAGAAAACTGAGATACATACATATAGGCCACAATATTGAGTGGAGTATACATGCCTAAATTTCAAAAAAGTATACACTTGAGAGTAAATAAGACTACCTGCTGAAGTCAGGAATTGCGTGTATTATAATTTGTTTTATATTTTTGATGTGTAACTTAGTATACTTAACAAACAAAAACATTTGTGAATACTAACTTTGATAAGTCATAAAAAGTTAATGCTATCTTAAAGCATTTGATATAGAAAAATATATTACCTCAGCAGCTTCTCCTGGTAACAAACAATGGTACGGCGTTCGTCACTGACTCCAATGGAAAAGGTTGTCAGCTCAGGCAAGTCAAGTTGCTCAACACAACGGTGTATGAGAAAGCGACGATAGTTGCTCACAGGCGGGAACACCAACACACTAACAAGTAAATTATTGTAATCATTAACAGGCCTGTTTTTACAGTAATAAAAAATTTATAAGCCATTGGTGAAACTAAATGGACTGATCTCATGTGAACTTTTTATATTATTTAAAACATATGAAAGTGCATGCAAATTTACTATCTGGGTAGCTGTTAAAATCCCCATCACCAAATATTTCATGCTTTGTATTGATTATCAGAAATCTGAAGAAGCAGAGTGTATTTGCCTAAACTTTCAGGAAAAGTGGATAATACCTCCCTCTAAAATACAGGAATTATTGCATTCTTTTCTTCTATATTTTTGAAAAGTTTTATAATTGTAAGAAAAATCAAGTATTATGTTTTGGTTGTTTACCATGTTACCATGCCGCACTGAGGTGCCAGGTTCGATTCCCGGGCCCAGAGAAATATTTATATGGCCTACATTTATTTCTCTCGTGAGTTTGGGTGTAATATGTGGTTGTCTATGTGTACTTCAATGGCACCCGCGACACAGGGTTACCCTAGTGCAGGGCTATTAGGTAAATATTCTACTTATACAGATTTATTACACTCACAAATTGCAATTCATATTAGCAAGCTACAAATGTATGTGAGCTGTTTATAGTCAAGTTCCGTTAATAAAGTTTAATGAGACCAAAATTATAAATTTAAAATAAGATCTGCACCAATTGCTTTGTCCCGGATATACATAGCCAGTGATTGCTTTAGGTGGATTTATTGGCCTAATCACGATTATATACCGACGTTCAAGGTGCCGTCTTGATTTGCTCTATTTGTTCCTCGTCCTACGTAGAATTGACTCACAATAACCTTGAAAAAATATTCGGCGGCCAATAAGGTAAAACATGCGGTTAGTAACACAGAACTGTATTAAGGTTGTGATAACAATTTACCTTGTAAGTAGGACTTAAATGCCGATTTGAAAAAATAAGCTTCCAGGACGTAAAAATGCAAGTAAATTAAATTGTTTACCTGTCAACTCTTTTTTTGGCTATAAAACATTTTAGGTCTTCGTTGACATCTTCGACGAAGTTATCGTCAGCCAGGTTCAGGAACCTTTCCACTATTTTGGCACCCAGTTTGACGATGTTTATGAAATGGAAATGAACAAAATAACACCAATTTCACGTACCAATGGGAATCGAAAACCTATCAGCCGTCCATTTTTATTTTTTTGCAACAACACATACAAAAACAGAGTAGCGCGCATGCACACACGCTATCTGACGCTTTTGCCGTAAAACGCCATTAGTGCTGCACCGGTCAGAAAAAAACCGACAACGATCATGTATTAATCGATTTTTTTGTCGATACGGTTGCCTTATGAATAGGTTGTGTATATTCTTCAAATCAATCAAGATCAAAACAAACGAATAGAAAATTGAATAGGTATACATATATAAAATTACTAAACCATCGAGTGGGTGGGAAATTTGCTTTGTTAAACACTAACGAATGAACCAATTACCACCATAATTTTTCTTGAGTTTTTGTAATCATTCTCCCTTCTCATTCATAGACATACCAAATCTATGTTCATAGCATATACAGTACATAATGTACGTACATACATTTATAATGTCAGTTACTTTTCATAGTATTTTTGTACGAAATTATCGCTATATTTTATGTCATACTTATTAAATTTAATCAATACAATCTCCGTTCATTATGGGTAAGATGGCGGTAGAGCTTTCAATCTCGAAATATCGAGACACGCCTCATCTCAGATTACAAAAGAATTTTGTAATCTGAGCGCCTCATGACAATCTGGATTTTCACGAAAATAGCATCGGTAAGGGATGCACCATTTGTAAGTGATGAGAGGTTTATAAAACTCGATTCGGTAAAATGAAAAAGCAATTAACATTTCCTAATTAATATATTTCACTTAAAATCGTTTCAATAATATTTACTTAAATATTACTAAATTATGCATCAAACTTTAGAATTAACTCAATTAGCTAGCAATCCACAATACTAAAAACATTGAAAATAATTTTATTAATGCAATAGGGAACATTACCGACTCAAAGCTTTACACAAGAGGCGCAACTAACAAGATATTCTAAAACTAGCTGCATGTAGACGTTTTTCATATCGTACGGAGGTGCTAAATTTGTTATAACATTGAACCCCAAACAATAACTAGCTAAATTTTTGGCATTAAAAATCATAATGTAATGAAAAACGATCCACTTTTTTTCTAGAGTTTGAGTGCACCGATTTATTATATATAATGTATAATGGAGTCGATTAATTGGAGTATTCAGATCAACAAAAACAAATGAAAATAAGTTTTTGACAAGTTCTATTATCACTGTTATCAACCAAAAGGTTGATACTGTAATTAATACAGCTTTATTTTACCCAGTCGGTGGTTTTAACAAAGATTTACAACATGTGGTTCAAAACATTCAGAACGATGCACATAATCACTTCTGAAATTTCTTGCACCCCCCTCCTTCACATCTGTCATAGTACATACATAGTACTAGCGTAACTTATTTAATTTAATAATACTTCAGATGTGAAGGTTATTTTTTGTTTGTTGTCTTAGGAGTCCTATTTTATAATATTTTTACATACTTATTTCTGTAAGTATTTAAATCTCAGATGAACAATAACTGAGATGATTAAATAAAACATATACGTACAGTGTGATTTTTTTTACAATATAGGAAAATCCAAAACCATAGGAGATACAAAGAAGCCACATAATTTTATGGACAACTCACCCTTGACCAAAAATTGGCTATGTCTAATTCGGTTTCACAAAAGAAGTTCTAATAGTTCCTGGAATAAATTTGCTGTATCTATGGTTTGGGATTTCTCCATACTGTCTCAGTTAAAAAAAACCACATTACACAGGAGTCCCAAGACTGTACGACATGTAGGGAAAGTATTTTAAATATTGTAGGGTACTTTGCTTAATGGGGACATTATTTTAGACATTATTGCAGAGTTAAACTAAACTATATATATGTAGAAATTCGTGGTGGTGTTCCTTTAAGATACCAAACAATAGTACCTTAAATTCCAGAAACACCATGAAATTTTAAGTAGTGAACCCTTTCAAAATACAAGACTTTTTCACATTTCGACGGTTCGATTCCCAGGTGAAAAAAAGCAACTTTGGAAATCTTTAAATGTAGTAATTACTTATAAAAATAAAACAATATTTCCACGAAACAAAATATTTTATCCACAGCAATTAAAATACTTTCCCTCCGTGTCTTAAATTAATTAAAGTACTTTCCCTCTAGTTACAGACGGCAGCGCCTCCAGTAGCAAAGCGTTTCAGTACTGTTCCATATTAAAACAATACACATTTAAAGTACCTTGAGAACTTTTAGGTACAAAAAAGCTACCTACTTACTAAAAGCTATGTAATACGAAAAATGTAACAAAGTGTTTTAAATAAAACAAAATCAACAAATTAATGAACTTAAATAATTAACTTGTTATTAGTTATAAGTACAAAATGTCATGTTCTCTAAGATGTTATAAAATTATTTACTATATTGCTCATTTGACTTTTCGAGTTATATTTTATGATAAAATGCGACCTTAATTCGTTTTAATAAAAATAATAATCTTTATCTTACATATAAAGGTCTCTCAACTTACTTATTAACGAATTGAAAGGCTTAACATCCGTGGGTTCGCTGTTTTGCTACTGCTCATGCTGTTGCACGACAGGTAAATAGCAAACAGAAATCTTACGGCATGTTGTCGACAGCTAGATAAGAATTTGTACAACGCCTATCGCGCTTTTTCTTTATTGCTGACACTTTATTATTAGCACTAGCACCTGTAAAACTGGCGCCCAATTGCAGGCCCTAGCATTAAATTTAACATAGTTAAGTCTATTTAAATTCAAACCGTGAATATACATTTGCATATCTAAAAATAATTGATGAGACCTCATCAATAGCATCTTATACATATAAGAAATATAAAAAATTTACAATATTCTTTGTTCAGATAATGGCGTTTTTGGTGATCAAATGGAAATAGATTCCAGGGCCTCAATTGGTCCGCTGGTACGCAATAACACGAGCATCATGTTATTATTGTAATTATTGAAATCAAGCACATCTGCCGCCACAATTACAGGAACATTATTTCGATGCATTCAATCGGGGCGCTGGAGGGACTCTACAATTAAATATTCACTCTTCGCGCCCTGTTAGCCTATACTCTAGCGTATTGTTTTATTAAGTACATTCTATCGACTACGGAAATGGTACCTAGACTTAATAGACTATTATTGCTTTAAAACTTTTCACGACCACGTTCCCGTAAATGTGCCGGGATGTACATGTGTATATTGTACCTATAATTATTACAAATTTATTAAGAATATCACTTTGTATTTGCAGTAGGCCAGTTTACAACATTAAATTAAAAACTTTCGATGTACCCTAAAATCTATCGTTTTAGACATATGTATTTATTAAATTCAACATTATATTATATAAAATGCAACAAACATCTCTTTCAATTATTTGTGAAATGCTGACTATAACATTATTATTGTAATAGTATAATCATATATCTGTCACCCATCAATCAATGAATAAATCCGACAATTCACGAAGCAAAAACAATTATAATTGGTTTAATATTACCTGGCGAGTTTCCACTTGAATGTAAACAATAAGGGTAACAACATCGAGTATATAACCAGAAATAGAGACGAACGAAGGGCCATCCATCCCTGGCAACTCATCAGGTAAACGTGTCTTATAACACTTTTAAATATCAACTCTCTTTTGCGCTGAAACCATAAATTAGAAAACTGAAACAGTACAGTGCCAACAACTGACCTGAGTGTACGTCTCCATACACTCCAAAAATATTCTGTATTTATTCCATTGACTTACAATTATATGGACGTCGGGTCCGCGCTCAAATGTGTCCGAACTTATAGGGCGTTAAAATCGTATACAGAGCGTCATTCACGCTTTAGTCTTCGTTTGTTCGACTGACAGCGAAGCAAGCAAAATTAGACAGTACTGCGATGACATTACAAATTAAATTCAACGTTTTAGCTTTTTCATATTCCTTTACATGTCACTACGTTTAAATAGGTTGACTTGGGACATTTTTTTCGTGGTTTGTGTATTACACCCGTCGTCCATTTATTTGTAAGTCAATGATTTATTTTAATAAATATCTCTAATTATGGGGGCTATTCCATTCGGTGGTGTGGGAAAAATAGCAAAAAATATAATTACAAAGAAACGGAATCACATTTCATCGGTAATTAATATGTAATTTTGCAATTTACGTCCATCATAGCAAAGCTCAAGTTAAACTGATCGTTTTGAAGTGAAACAATTGACGGCATTTGTTTCGAATTCGGGCTGGCCAATCGGAGCGAAGTTCTCACAGTAATGATTTGGCAGAATAGTTTTCAAACAAATTAATGGCGTCTCGTTATCGGAGCTATAACATAAACAAACATTTTTATGTTCGGTCCATTGACTTACAAATAAATGGACGACGGGTCTAATACAAAAACCACGAAAAAAATGTCCTAAGTCAACCTATTTAAACGTAGTGACATTTAAAGGAATATGAAAAAGCTAAAACGTTGAATTTAAATTGTAATGTCATCGCGGTACTGTCTAATTTTGCTTGCTTCGCTGTCAGTCGAACAAACGAAGACTAGAGCGTCAATTACGCTCTGTATACGATTTTAACGCCCTATAAGTTCGGATACTTTTTAGCGCAGACCCGACGTCCATATAATTTTAAGTCAATGGTTCAGTCGGTCAATTTCAAGTATCTAATTTATGTCCCAGACACTACAATGTGAGGACTAAAAACTTATTGATTTGTGAGTGGCAATGAGTTGTAATTTTTTGCAATTATGTTGACAACTTTAATGAAGGCGCAAGAAAAATTTACAAAATAAATTCATCCCATTAGAACTGCATCTGGTAAGTTTTTATTATTAATTAGAATATGATATTCGGATAGGGCTACTCACGAGAAAAAACCGTGATATATGATTTGTATCGTAAAATTTAAAACTAATCAGAACTTTATGCATTTTTCTGACGCAGTTTCATGCGAAAATGCA